CATTTCTTTCTCGAACGCTTGTGGTATCCGTTTCCAAATTATGCAGTATAAAATCTTTTCTTTTGAAACCGTTGCACGATATTTTTGCACTTTGTGAAACTAATTTAAATTCTTCCAGTGGTACCAATGAATGCTCTGTTCCAGTTTATCTTTCATTTTGCCGAAAGGATGCCAGCATTTACATGCATGGCCTTGGTGTTTACATCCGGGTTAATCTGCCAGTTGCAAGGAGACTGGCAGTCGAATCACCAGACATCTCTTTCATGTACTTTCGATTTTCATTATTACATTCCGTTACCTATCTCTTTTCTGTTCATCTCTTCCCGACTTTTCCGGACAATAGTATATTAGACATAATCTCTGACAGGATAGAAACGGCATTCTCTCTTCCATCTGCGAACATCTTTGTGTTCAGTAATTTCAATGCGCATCACGACACATTCTAATATCACTGATGTTGACGGTATTCAATTTTTACATTGTTCAGTCCCTTAGTTGTGTTGTGGGTTTTAATATTCATTTCCCTAGCAAATCCTACGCTTCTTTACTTGATTTATTTCTTACCTCCTCATCTACACTGTCCTCATGGCAACTCGGATCACTCTGTAGTATCTATTGATATTTCGTTTCAGTCATCTATTAGACAGGAACCTCCAATTCATAAGACCTTTTTAGTTACCAATCATGCTGATTGAGATTCACTTCCTAACCTTCTTCGAGACACCCTTTGGATTGATATTTTTAACCTTCATATTGAGAATTGCGCCGCTAAAGTCAAAGCCGGAATATATGTTTTCATTCCTTCCCAGAAATACCAGGTGAAACATCAATCTTCTCCCTACCTCACACCAGCATGATATGCTGCTGTAGCCCACAGGGACCACTATTTCCGACTATACCAGCGTTAGAGTTCCCATTCGTACCTGCACATAATAAATGTAAACGTGTCCTAGAAGGAGCTAAATCTTTGTTTGCTGATATAGTGAGTCACTATATTGCATCCAAAAACTTTGGCTCTGGTGATTACCGGCGGCTCTGTAAAAGTGTATTAAATAAGAGTATGTTTTCTATTTCTCTTCCCTTCAATCAATTTGAGGTGTTAACATCTTTTGCTGATAAAGCTGAATGTTTCACCGGTAAATTCTCTTTAATGTTTATTCTTGATTCATTTTGAGTGTCCTTGACTAACTTTCCATTTACAATGCTGTATGATATGCAAATAACCACTGCCATCATCTCTAATGTGGATCTTCACAAATCCTGTGGACCTGATGATACCCCTGTGATAGTCTTTAAGAAGTGTGCTTTTGAACTGGCTCCTGTTCTCTCTAAACTGTATAATAAATGCATCGATGCCCTTTGTTTCTCTGCCTGTCGGAAATCGTTCCTAAAACTCAGCGTCCGACCCTTCCAACTATCAGGTTGTACCTCTGTTCAGGGAACTACTAGAAGCCCTTATCAATGATGATTTGGTTAATCAGTTCACATAGTAGGGCGATCTTACAGACAAGAAATAGGGTTTCTCTAGGTCAACTGCTGATGTATGGAAGATAATTGCGGAAAGAGTCTATTAAGCAATACATAATAATGATGAAGCTCGGACTGTTGCTTTGGATATCTCAAAAGCTTTCGACAGGGTTCGGTATACAAATCTTCTTCACAAATTGAAAAGTTACGGTGTCTTCGGACAAATTTTTGAACAGATCCATTATTTCTTATCAAATCGTGTAGTGAATGTTATCTTGAATGGCCACTCTTCTAGATCCTTCCGTTTGGTTTGGTTTGGTTGTTTTACGGCATATCAACCTCAATTGGTTATTTAATACCGCCAAGATTTTTATAGCTAGTAATATTCTTGTTCAAAAACGTATTGCTGGTAAGATTTTTTTCCAAAAAGTACTGCTAGTATTAAAACCTATTTTTATACTTACATTGTGTTTTAGCCTCTTTTTTGGGAGGAGGGGGTAACTATTTGCGCATAGCGGGGACCCTGAAATGTGCTATCACCTGGGAAAACCAGCAATTAAGAGGTGACTCCACGCTCCTCAATATTTCCTGGTCAGAGGCCTTGCTGTCTAATGTAGGCTTACCCATGATTACTTGCATTATTTGCATTATTCGGCTGTAGCCTGGTATTGAACTCACAACTCTTTGGGTCTAGTAAACTGTATCTAACCAACGCCTTTATCCACTGGGCCATGTATCCTCGAGGAAAAAGACGTTGGTTAGATTGGAAAGCTGAGTTAAAGGGAAATAACTGAAACTTCCGGAAGAGGCAAGGCACGTGGAACTAGAACAATCTACCCCGGTGGACGAAATAAAGGGTTCGGTTCTAAATTCCAGTCACTTGAAGAAGGCAGGAGCGCACAACGGCCGAAACGTTGGCAATATGACAATGAAGACAAGGATAAGTCCAAATAATGAAAGTAATCATAATATCTCATCTCAGAGATATAGACAGATATTGAAGAAAAATTCCAATCACTTGAAGAAGGCCGGAGCGTACAACGGCCGAAACGTCGTGAATATGACAATGAAGATTCGGATAACAGTCCGAATAATGTAAATAATGCAAGTAATCATAAGACCTCATGTCAGACATATAGACAGATATTGAAGAAAAATTCCAATCACCTGAAGAAGGCCGGGTCGTACAACGGCCGAAATTGTGAATTCGGCAATGAAGGCGAGGATAACAGTCCGAATAATGTAAATAATGCAAGTAATCATAATACCTCATTTCAGAGATATAGACAGTGTTTAAATTGATCACGAATCTCATGAAATATTCGTTGGACATTACTTTGATTCAGAAAATGATTTGATTAAACATGGATGACATGACAAAAATTATTCTCTTTCCTTCTATTTGTATACTAATAAATGCTTACGATCGGGAACTACGACATGTTGACAAGCTTGTCTCGCTAGATCAACTATGACTGAATTGTGAGTTCGGTGCTCCACGCTTTTTCCTTGTGCCACGAATGATTTTCTCGGCGTAGCTTAGAAAATCAATCACGGACACTTTGACGTGGGGTAATGATTAGCAAGTTTGTCTCTCTATATCAATAACAACTGTATCGTGAGTTCAGCACTCACTGGGTGCCCCAGACTATTGGGCTTGTGCCACATCTAAGCTATGCTAAAAATCATTAGTAGGCACTTTGACGTGGGGTAATGATTAGCAAGCTTGTCTCGTTAGATTAATAACAACTGTATAGTCAGTTGGGCCCTCACTTGTGTTACACACTATTGGGCTTGTAGCTGAGCTACACTTAGAGGATCCTACGTGGGCAGTTTGACGTGGGGTAATGATAAAAAACAGAGTAATGTAAATAATGCAAATAATTTAAACCCGGAAAGAAATACTTCCTTGTCGTGTATCGATTTTTGATTATTAAATAATGACCCCCCCCAATGATCTAGTTGAAAAAAACAAAACAAAAATAAAACTTCTTATTGTGTTTTCTTTTCTTTCTTTTTTTCTCTCCAGCTTTTGGCGACATATACGACATTTTGCGGGATTGCTATTCAGAACGCTCAGATATTCGAAGCCTGTAATAAAGAATACGAAAGAAACAAGGTGAGTTTTATGGCCGTATATTTCGTGCGACTCGGAGATTACTTTTTCTCCGACGCATGTATTCGCTGTTGGCATGATTTATTTCTTCCGTTAACAACTGTCATTTAGGGATATTTATGGATAATAGATGAGCACTTGAGACAAATATGAGGTTTACGCTCATAAAAAAAAAAAACAAACTTTAACCTCAAGACAGGGTCCTTAGTTTTGTTAAAAAATAAAACTTGTGAATCCATAAATTATTTTTCTGTTGGCAATTAGTTTAATCGTTTTAAATGTATTACTGCATTTTGGTAGTTTCCTATTTTATCGTGGTGCACAATTTTAAGACTTTCGATCTCTAGGCCTGTAAATATTAATTTCACTATTTAAAAGAAATAACATCTACCCAAACACCTGTGCCAACTAAATATAGCATTCTTCTTCATAAAATATATCGGATTAAAAAACTGCTTGAAAATTACCTTAAATTTAGGATACGAAATTTGCCTATATTCATTTCGAAATGTCCCTGTGCGAGCTATACATTTCTTATATAATGTTGCTTTGCTGGAATGCTTTACCATAACTTAACCGTGAAAGCGCGCCGGGTTTGAAGTTGTTTTTTTTCCGATTTGTTTTTTTTATTCCGTGATAGGACTTGTTTACAATTTTTCTTTTATACGAATATCTGTAGCCGTGTGGAAGTAGAGTGATGGTTATCGACGGAAATAGTGAAATTGGCGTGCAGGTTTCAAATTTCTGTATTGCGTTCATTTTCGCATAGACAACGTTGTTTTATATATTTAGCTGCTCATCCTTTTTTCTTTTCTTTTTTTTTTCGCAGAGCAAGTCCCTTTTTAGTCCTAAGTATAACTGTGACGTCGGAAGAATCAAAACCGATCAAACTTTATTTTTGAAGAGGGCGCCTTAAATATTGATTGATTGATTCGTTTTTATGACTTATCAACACTTTGCAGATTATCTAAAGCCAAAGAATATTTTTAGTGTCTAAGAATTCTTTTGGAGATAATGATTTAGTGATATAATTAACTAATAGCTAAGGATAGAAAAGATGGCTTCATACCTAATGAGAATTTGATAAACAAACAAGAAATTATAATGTGGATATAAATTGCGGGATCAATTCTGTATTACAATCACGATATAAACTCATCCCTCACTTTGTGGCCACATTACTTTCTATATATTTACATTACAGAGACTGTAAATAAATCTTTTGAAGATTATTTAAAGCCAGAAAATATTTTTAGATTATAAGAATTTTTGGAGATAATGGTTTACTGATACAATTCTACTAATTAACCCATAGCTGGGAGGGGGCAAGAGGTAGATTCCTACTTATTCCCAAGGATATTTGTGCGTAAGTGAATATAACGAACCCATTATCCATTACACAACCCAAAAATCCTAACTTGCAACTCCTAGTATTCGCTAGGGGTTACCCAAATAAATACAGACCATGCTCGACGTTGCTTAACTTCTGTGATCGTACGGGAACCGGTGTTTACAACGTGATAAGACTCAACTGGAAGAGATATGTTTGCATTGAAAGATGATGAGAATATAATGGACGGAACGGGTGGGCAAAGAGGAAATTTTAAGGAAAATGAAGACAAAAAAGACAGGTATACTTACAATCAGAAAGAGATACATATTGGAGCGCTTGAAGAATTTGGCTCTCATGCAGCATACTGAAGGCGAATAGGGGTGGGCAGAGATAAATATTTTGTAACCTACCAAACTAGTTTATGTAAATGTATGGCAGAACAGGGACTAGGACTCACAGCAAGGTTAGGAAGTTGTGGAGAGCCATAACCACACACGTTCGTAAGGGAGACGATTTATAAATGAAGTAGATGAACGATTTATAGATGCTAGTTCGATTCAATAAATTCGTAAGCTGGCACATAATTATGAGCTGAAGTTTCATCTGTTATTTTGGCTCTGATGTTGCAAGAAGGGTAGAATCCCAATGAGGCTTGACAGAGATTGACGAATAGTTAAATTTAGAAAAGCTCGGCTAAAACATTTCCCGTATATTTAAATTTCTGTTTTTGCTTCATTACTTGTACCCATTTTTCAGCTAACACTTGGGTTGTTCCTTTTCTAATGACCATACATAATTGGACATCACACATTATGAAATGGACAATCTCCGACAATTATTTTAAGACATTTTTATGTTTTATGCATTCTTTTTACAGATACAAATATTTAAGTAAACATTATTAAACAACATTTACCGGCCTTAATGACCGAGAAATTTTCACAGAAAATATTCGTCCTCCAACAGGATTCGAACGTATATCCTATACGGAACCGTCATTTAGCTCGACGTGTCTTAACCGATTTGGCTACAGAGGAACGTTCGGTTAGCAAGGTCGAATATACTGTCTTTAAACTTCAATCTTCCATGAATCTCTCACGTAGATTCATATCTGCTCAAAGCTTATCCAAATGTAAACAAATGACGTCACGCATTATGAAATGGACAAAGTCCGACAATTATTTCTCAGACATTCAGACCGGTAAATGTTGTTTAATGCTGTTTATTATAAACAGAGCATTCACTTAAATATTTGTATCTATAAAAAGAATGTATAAACACAAAAATATCTTAAAATAATTGGACATATGAAAGGATTGTAGTCCACTTCTCTTTTCTTTGTTTCTAACGAAAATGTTATTTTTGGAAGACACTTGTCATTATTCGAATAGGGATATTACGAAGAACCTATATCCTTGAAAATCAGGATTCAAAATATTGCATTTTACCGGTGCTCGAACCCTGACATGGGGTAGGAGTTTACAATTGTGTAGGAGAGGATGCAGATCAAAGTTAATTTGTATCTAATGAACTGGATCAGGGGTCATCACACTTTTTTTAACAAAGGGTCAGATTACTGAGAGAATGAGGAACGTTGGCCACGTAACCATTTTGTTCAATGCAATACACTGAATACACTAAAAAAGTAAAGACAAAAAATATATATTTATTTATCAAAATTTTTTTAAAGAAGGCAGCATTATCAATAAAATAGTTATATTACACCCAGTGGGCACATATCCGAATCTCACAAACTAAGCAGCCAAAAAGGAAGTGGGATTTGTGAAACTGGTATTTACCTTTTAAGATATAATCAATATTTGCTTTGGAATTGCTTCATCCAACCAGAAGAATTGCTTTCATATGTTCATCAGCCAACCTCGTTACATCTACTGACTTTAAATTCTTTAGATTTTACAAGTTCAGGCAAAATATATGACACAATTCGCTGAAGTCAGTCCTATTTATATAGTGATTTTCTAAGCGCTGCTTAGATGTGTCACAAGGCCGGAAGTATGGAGCACCCAGTGAGTCCTATTTATATAAAGCACTCTCAAAAACCGGTTTAAACACGGCAATGCAAATTAAAACGGGGTGGTTGCACGAGGCTCGTAATCGCCTTTCTTAGAACATTCATGATAATACTTACACAAAATGCGCTCTGATATCAAAACTTGTCCAATCATTTATTTCCCTGATTTTCCTAAAACTTATATTACTGTCAGATGCAAAAATCAGACTGGCCAAATTTGTGCATTTTTAATTACATTTATTTTAATTTTTCTTCATAGTAAGTTTAATCACAATCTATTGATAATTCTATATAAACAATTATATTTTAGCTCATTTGTGTCACAGATGAGTTGACATCGTGAGACGGTTCAGGTCCGCGTAGTTTGGTGACCCCTGACCTAGACGTACTGAATGGTAACGTAATATTTGTTGCAGTTTAGTAATAAAAACAAATTTACGTGGTTAAAGATTTTTTAAAACCCATAAAAATTATTTTATTTAATGGGATTTTAAAAAGCGTGAAAATCTTCAATTTTATTCACTTGGCTTTTACTAGAATTAAATCTCAAAAAGCAATAGTTTTTGTCGTTTCTTAAATATAGAGGAAAATAATTGTGCAAGCAAATTAACCACAGCCACAAAGAAGGCTTCCATGGTAAATTTTTAGTAAAAGGTGTCGTTAACAAACCGAAATTCAGTTATTTGAGTCGTTGCCGTCAAAACTGCTGTCTGTCAAGTTGAATTTGTTCGGCTTTGAATTGACAAATAATCTAGAGAAGAAGAGAAATAAAAGGAAAAGAAGAAGAAAAAGAAAGAAAAATGGTAGAAACGAAAGAAAGAAAGAAAGAAAGAAAGAAAGAAAGAAGACGGAAGGAAGAATGAAAGGAAGAGAGAAAAATTAACTATGAAAGAAAGAAAGAAAGAAAGAAAGAAAGAAAGAAAGAAAGAAAAAGAAAGAAAGAAAGAAAGTAAAACAGAAACGGTGGAAGAAGGAAATACGGTTGGAGGGAAGAAAGAAAGGATGAAGGAGGGAAAAAGAGAGAAGTATGGCGGGAAGAAAGAAAGAAAGAAAGAAAGAAAGAAAGAAAGAAAGAAAGAAAGGGAGGAAGAAGAGGAGAAAGAAAGAAAGAACAATGAAGAAAGGAAAGAAAGCAGAAACGGAGGAAGAAAGAAAGACGGAAAGAGGGGACAAATAAATAAATAAATAAATAAAGAAAGAAAGAAAGACAGACAGAAAGAAAGACAAGAAGGCAGGCGAGAAAGTAAGACTAGAAGAGTACAGCAGAACGAAAAATGGCATCAAAGAAAGAAAGAAAGAAAAATAAAGAAACAAATAAAAGAATAAAGAGAGGGAAAGTAGGGAAGAAGCAAAAAGTGTAGGAGTAGAAATTAAGAAAGAAACGAAAAAAAAAAAAAGAATTACAAGGGACAAGGAAGGAAATAAGGAAAGAAAGTGTGAAAGAAAGTGAGAAGGAAAACCAGAAAGAGTTAAACAGAAAGAAAAATAATATTATGAAGGAAGCGAGAATAGAAAGAAAGAAACAAACAAACAAAGAAAGAAAAAGAAAGAAAAATTAAACAACTAAAATAACTAACAAATAAATAATGTATATATATAGAGAGAGATAGATAGAGAGACGAGGGGAAAAATCGAAAGAAGGTAATCAATAAAGCAAACGAAAAAAAAAAAAGAATGAAATTGATGAAGGAAGGAAATAAGGAAGAGAAAACGAAAAGGAAGGAAGGAAAAACCAGAAAAGTTAACTAGAAAGAAAAAGATTGTCAAGGATGCAGAGCATGAAAGAAAGAAAGAAAGAAAGAAAGAAAGAAAGAAAGAATAGAAACAAAGTTGAGAAGAAAACTGGATGAGGAAAATCCGAAAAAAAGAAAAGAGAATGAGAAACATGGACAAGGCAGAATTAGAAAGAAAGAAAGAAAGAAAGAAAGAAAGAAAGAAAGAATAGAAACAAAGGTGAGAAGAAAACTGGATGAGGAAAATCCGAAATAAAGAAAAAAGAAAGAGAGACATGAACAAGGCAGAATTAGAAAGAAAGAAAGAAAGAAAGAAAGAAAGAAAGAAAGAAAAAAATAGCAAAAAGAGAAAGAGACAGTGGGTAAAAACAAAATAATAAGCTAGTATAAGAAAGTAATCAATAAAGCAAACGAAACAGAAAAAGAATGAAAGGAATTACGAAAATATGAAAGAAAGAAATACAGAATGGAAGTAGAGGGAAGAAAAAGAAAGAAAGAAAGAAAGAAAGAAAGAAAGAAAGAAATAAAGAAAGAAAGAAAGAAGGGATGAAGAAAGAATAGAAAGAAAGCGAGGAAATAGGGGGAAAAAAAGAAGTTATCCAGTCAAAAGGAAACACACAAAATAAATAAATGAAGAAGGAATGAATAAATGATGAGTGGCTTAGAGAATGAATAGACGAAAGGCGAGAGAGAAGGGGAAAATAATCCTGAAAGAAACAAAATAAAATAAAAACAAGCTATCAAAAATCAAATAAAACAGAGATAAGAAAGAAAGAAAGAAAGGAAGGAAGGAAGGAAGGAAGGAAGGAAGGAAGGAAAGAAGGAAGGAAGCCAGAAGAGGAGGAAGAAAGGAAAGAAAGAACGAAAGATGGAGAAAAGAAAGAAAAGAAGGAAAGAAAGTAAGAAGTCAAAAGACGAGGAAGAAAGAAAGTGTTAAAGTAGGAAGGAAGGAAAGAAAAAATGAAAGAAAGAAAGAAATTAAATAAACCTGAAGCTCTAACAAACTGCAAATTCTCAGAGCTCAAATGGAGGTGTCAAATACACTAATGCCTTAGCAATCAGAAAACAAAAAAAAAAGAATATATATACAGACAAGCATAAACATATGTTATCCATATATATATATATATATATATATATATATATATATATATATATATATATATATGTGTGTGTGTGTGTGTGTGTGTGTATATATATATATATATGTGTGTGTGTGTATGAATGAGCGTGGATATGGGCGTTTGCAGGTAGTCATTCTTGGAATTGAATAGAAAGAATTTTTACTTAATTCATTGGCAGGAATTCGTGCAATACTTACAGATAAACCATTTTTAGTGTTCGTTTATTGATTCTGATACACTGCAGGCTCAACAGAACACAACTGTTGATGACATTTCTGGAGCTGAACGTAATACGACACAAGGTCAAAAAAAAGAAGAAGCGCCCAGACGCAAATAAACTTATTTTTTTCAATTGGCTGCTCAACTCAATATAAACGACACCGACTGTGTGCCCTATTATTATTGCCTTGTGTAAGGCCGATCAGCTTGATAAGGTCAATGTATAAGGCTGATGTTAAAAACGACCTTCAATCTGTTATTAACTGTGGTTGTTAATTTTAACGCCCTTAATACTAAACTGCTCTCTGTTAATCATCTGGGATACTCTTTTCTGCCTTCCATAACTATGGCTGATGCTAATCTCCAAAAGATCGACTCGTTGCTCCTTCTCAGGCTAACGTTCTAGGCTGACATAAAGTGAAGACTATACTGAAACCATTACTAGATCAGCTGCTAAAAAAGTTGGTTCACTGCGTGGGGCTAGACAATTTTTCTCTCCATAATCTATCTTACATATCTATAAAACTACCAAGCGTCCATACCTAGAATATGGCTGCCACATATGATCCTGGGCTCCCTATATATTTCTAGAGAATTTTGATAAAATACAAAGGAGAATCAGTAACATTATTCATCCTGATCTTGCGTCTGGGCTTTAGTCACTTTCCCACTGCCCTACGGTTGCCTCTCTGTGTATTTACTATAAACACTTTTATGGCATCGCATTCATCAATATAACTATTGCTGAATTACCTCCCTTGCTCAAAAATTAATTAAAATATATACCTTTCTTGCTAATATAATATCGGGTCTTCTTAATTTTCGACACCGCTACTTGGGGATGCTTTTCGGCACTATAAATACTCTGCGATAATTTTTATCACACTCTTCTTAATTTTCCGCTTATTCGACAATATGTAAATCTGTTGCGGACCAGTGTATGCGTTGAGAGATAAACACGTGTGTCTCCTGAAATGCCCACAACAAACATGGTAGACACAGATCAAAAAGAAAAAAGAAAAAAAGAAACAAGGACCAATATATATGTACAAACAACTAATAATATATTAACAACAAAAGGGTTACAAGTGACAAAGAAAATAATATGTGTCTAACAAATGAAGGCTGAAACGTTTGTGTGCAAAGTATGTGAAGTAAGCGAATATGCATACGTACGTGTGTGTGTGTGTTTGTATGTAGTGTTCATGCGTTACCTAAAAAGGGAACGCGATCTTCCGCGAGAGATTTACATGTTGTCGAATAAGCGGAAAAGTAAGAACAGTGTGATAAAAAATTTATAGTGACGGAAAGCGTCCCCAAGTAGCGGTTTCGAAAATTAGGAGGATGTAACCCGACAGTACATTAGTAAGAAACGTACACATTTTCATTATTTCTTTTTAAGCAATGGAGCTTATTCATCAACAGTGATATTGGTCGATGCGACAATGGTAATTGTTCGCTCAGGGTTTTTTTGACTTTAAGTGGAGTACTGGTCTCATCGATATACAGTAGAGTTGGCTTGATGTAACTCTATGTTCTATATCAACAGTCTCTTTTCTCTCACTTCCTGCTTGTGGAACTGCCTTCTGGCTCCATACTTTCCAGCCATCTTCAAAAATTTAAATTCAATGTCAATGGCTATCTACTTTCCTCCTGATTACACTTCTTTTGTTCTCGTTAATGTGTCTGTTTTCGAATTCTTCCAAATCCATTAACACCTTGTAATTTAGTGGCTTTATTCTCATGCTTGGGGTGAAAAGATTAATGATAACTAGCAGGAAATAAAGAACAAGGATTGCAAAAAAAAAAAAAAATATTAAGAAGCTCTCAGCGAGACTCGAACTCTTTACTCTTTGCCTTGCGAGAACAAATCGATGTGAGCAAATGTCTTGCGGATTAAACGAAAGGTAATTTCAGAAGAAATTATCTGACCATATATGGTTAAATAACTTTTTTTCTACAGAATTCATTTTGTTGATTTTACACTCGACACTAGTTTTAGTAGTAGTAGCAGAGTTAGTAGTATTAGTAATAGTAGTAGTAGTAGTTGTATCAGTTGGAGCTTAGAGAGCGTAAAGTTCTTAAAGGAAAGTTATAAATCTATCACTTCTCACTCCTATGGATTAAATAGTATCTAAGAGTTGTTTCTCAATTTTCGTTTGGGACCCAGTCTAAAAGAAGCACAATTAGGAAAGGCGACAGGAAACCACGCCTCTATATTCGACAAGAAATAATGACAATTCACATATAATACATGTTTGAATCGATCTATTCACTCTACCAGCACATACTAGGCTCTCCTGCCTTGGGTGGAAATTACTTCATAAGAACGACTACTCTAAATTCAAAACAGTGGATAAAGTAACGGCAAAGCACTCCACCATCTTTCCCCCAAATCATAGAAATACAAGGTCTGATAAAAAAAAAAATATAGGGTCTGTTTCTATGGCAACGAGGCTTAACATCTGACGCATTAAATTATAACGTTATCGCTTCCTTTGTTCATAGCAATGCTAGGAAGGAAAGTGTATAGACTGTGGTCGTCTCAACACACCCCAAAAATCTTTTTGAAAACGGTCATAACAGGTGGTGAATGACCCCGAAGCCAAGGCACATTTTTCGCAATGGAAGACGCCAGCCTCCCCCAAGGCCGAAGAAAGCATGAAATAGTGATGACACTGTTGGCAGTTTTCTTCAAGTGCAAGGGCATTGTTCATCATGAGTATGCTTAACCTGTCCGCCAGTAAACAAGTGACGTGTTACGCTGTTTGCAGAGAGCGATTCGTCGGAAAAGGACATAATTCATCAGTAACTTACTCACTTTATTGAGCTAAAATTGTGCAGCGTCCTGGGTAAGATGGTAAACTACACCAGCGTCATACATAAGACGATAAACTACATCCAACATCATCTGATCAGGAGGTTTTAAGGAGCGTGTAACTAAGTCTTAATTGTTGGTGTCCCCAGGTCCAGCCTGACCCGAGGTGATTGCACTTCTTAGTACCCCAACTATGGGTAAATAGTTAACACCCAAAGTGGAGCCAAATTACCATGAAAGTGTAAAAATAGGTTTTAATATCAGCAATAATATTTTGAGGAAAAATTATTACCAACAATACATTTTTGAGGAAAATAAATATTACCAGCAATACATTTTTAGGAAAAAATATTACCAGCAATACTTTTTTTGGGGGAAAAAAGGAATAATGCTAGCAATATATTCTTGAAGAAAAAACATTACGAGCAATTCATTTTTGGAAAAAAAATATTACCAGCCATAATAATCTTGTCGGCATTAAATAACTCATTGAGGCTGATATGCCGTAAAACAAACCAAACCAAACCAAATAAACTGGTGCAGTAATTTTGGGCTAAGCACGGCATCCCATGCTCCGACAACAACCATATTCCCCAGTTCTTGCACATTGCGACTTTTTCCGCTTCCCAAAAATCGAATCCCACTTGAAAGGGACAATATTTCAAGATATCAAGGAAGTTCAAGAGAATGCAACGAGGTAGCTGCTCGCTATCCTATAAAAGGAATTCCAGTAATGCTTCCATCAATGGAAACGACATTGGATAAATCTTATCGCTTTAGAAGGGGACTATTTCAAAGGTGATTAAATGCCGAACTGATATGAGTTGTAGTATTCTTTTTATAAATAGCATCCCAATATTTTCATTCAAGCCCTGTATATTAAATGGTTACCTGAATTTGACGTGATTTGTATCCTGCAACACACGAGGGAAATATCGTAGATTAAAGGATTTGTTGCGTGTGCAATTCAATCGAGCAAAAAGCTCGAGGCTTGTGTCACGTTGGAAGATTCGATGCTAAAGAGAGTTTAAGTAAGGAACCTTTCTGTAGGTAATTGGTTGCAGGTTTTGCTGACCTGTTACAGAATACCACCAGAAAGTTCTACGTAAAATTACGTCACCTGTTCAGATAGAAATTGTGCTTGTTTCTCAATTAGTAAGTTAATAGGTAAGTTACGCCCTGTCATTACCTTCATTAAATAATGGACCAATCCGTTTGCAAGAAAAAAAAAACGAAAAAAATTATATTAGAGAAGTTGTTGGCTTCAGTAACAAAATAAAGCATATGCCGGAGTATGAGGTGGTCGATTTTCTTCATCGAGTCACCATTTGTAGGAAATTAAATCGTCCTGATTTTTATATTAAAATTCTAAACTATAACGAAATTAAAATAAAGAAAACATGGGGATGTCTGTTAGATCATTGCTCCCCACAACATTATTATTATTATTATTATTATTATTATTATTATTATTATTATTATTATTATCATCATTTTTATTTTCTTTGATTTCTGGCGTTTACACATTTCTTTACGGGTCCCGCCCAGGGACCTAAGGTTAGAAATGGCAGCATGACACTTTCCACATCGAAAAAAAAAAAAAAAAGAAAAAGAAATTACATAGATAAAGCCCTTCGTAAAGTGTGGGCTGTACTTGTCAGAACAATTTTTTGTATCTCCTTGAGGCATGGACTTCCGGGAATCTTTTCAATTAGTCTACTGCAATCTTTTCCAACCAGTTCTAGGGCTCCAACTACAAAAGGGATTGTTGATGTTCCCATATGCCACATTTTCGAGATTTCTATTTCAAGGTCCTTGTATTTTGACAGCTTTTTGAATATCTTCAAAGATATATTGCAGTCAGAAGGGACTGCCATATCAATAAGGAGGCACCGTTTTTGTTTGTGGTCTTTAATAACAATATCTGGGCGGTTGGCTTTGATTGTTCTTTCAGTGTGTATTGTGTAGTCCCATAGAATTGTAACAGGTCCTATCTCCGTAACCAGATCTGGGTGGTGTTCATACCAGTTTCTTTCAGTTTCCTTCCCGTAGAAGTTGCAGATTTTCCAGTGCAGATATTGGCCCACTCTGTCATGTCGTGTTTTATATTCAGTGGGTGCCAACATCGTGCAACCTGATACAAGATGATCAATCATTTCTGGATATTTATCACAGAATCTGCATTTTGGGCTGACACAATACTTTAGTATATGTGCTTGATAATTCTTAGTTAGCAAACATTGGTCCTGCGCAGCAAGGATAAAACCTTCAGTTTCCTTTCAACCCTGCACTACTTAGCCACTGATGGGTACGGGTTTGTCTACGTCAGCTTGTTTGGTACGGGCAGAGTATTGGCCATGAAGCGGTTTATCTTGCCATCGCTTCTGTATCTGGTCGGTTGCATTCGTCTTTGCTGTCTTTTTTAAGTATTTTGCAGTTTCAGCCGGTGTGTTGTGCTGTAGTTGCATCTCTACGCCCATTTGAAACTCCTTATTATTATTATAATTATTATTATTATTATTCTTTCGCTAGCCCCATAGAATCATCTTCTTCCTCCTCTTCTTCTTTCGCTAGCTCTATAGAATGTTCCTTCTCTTCCTCCTCTTCTTCTTCTCTCGGTGGCTCCATAGAATCTTCCTCTTCTTCCTTTACTTCTTTTTCTTTCGCTAACTCCATAGAATCTTTTTCCTCCTCTCCCTCTTCTTCTTCTTCTTCTATGCGTCGTGCCCCTTCAGGACGGGGTCAGTCATAGCTCTCTCCACAATATCTTGTCCGTTTTAGCTTTTTAGTAACTTTTTCTTTAGCTATTTCTCCTAATTCCTGCTCCTTATCAGCCAGCCACTTTGCTTCTGTCTCTCATGCCTTCCTGTGATCGACATTTTGCCTCGACATTTCAACTCTTTCTTCCTGATATTAAGTATAAGTGTTTCCATTTTGTTTTCTCTAAAACTTCGTCATTGCTTACATGTTCAGTCCATAATATTCTCGGCGTCCTTTTGCTCAACTACATTTACCTTGCTTCATCTGCGAGGAGATTTTCTAGTATTCACTGCCATATCGGGAGACTAATATTTCATAACATCCCAGTACTCTTTTCTTGGTTTCTAACGAAATTTTCCTGTTTCCTCATACTTTGCTTAGCTTTTAGAAGACATAATTCACTATCCCAATACCTCTTCAAGTTTCAGTTTCGCATTTTCTCTCTTCTTTATAAGTATTTCTCCTTTTATATTGATTTTGTCATCTCTAACTTGTAATTAGTATGCTGGCCTCTTCTTTTGTTTGACAACAATGCATTCTGTCTACTTACAACTGATGTTTAGTCCTTTCTTCTTGCTTTCTTTTTACCATCTATAGTCGTTCCTGTATTTTCCTTTCTGTGTTTGACATTTACACCGTGTCATCTGCATATCTAATGTTGTTACGATCAGAGCTGAAAATGATGAATCCTGATAAGAATTCCAATTCCCTTAGGATTGCCTCAATGTAAAAATTGAATAAATCTGGTGAGAAGACATATCCTTCCTATTTTTGTACATTTACTGAATTCATTTTCTATCTTTTTCTAGAAATTTCGTAGAAAATATACACTTTCCGACATTTACTTATAGTCCCCTTTCTCTGTCTGTTTGTCTCTGTCTCTTTCTCTCTCTATATATATATTTACTTGACCCCCCCCCCACTGAGTCACGTTGTGACACAAGGCCAGTTTTTTAACGTGGGGACCCGAGTGTTTTCACTCGGGCCGCTGGTCTTAGCTGGTCATAGCTTGTCCAAGCTGGTCAGAGCTGGTCTAAGCTAGTCATAGCCGTGATACCACCAGACGGAGCCCTATGCACCAGATCTCTCTATTTGAAAAAACGCCGGGAGAGTCCAGCACCATATATATATGTTTTCGACGTATGAGTGTCAAGTTCTGCTTCATGCAGAACCAACCACACCTTTCGAAGAGCCAAATGCAGAGACCTGGTGCACACAGACATACACATATATAGAGAGAGACAAGAGAGTCCAGCATATATATATATATATATATATATATATATATATATATTGTTTTCGACTAATGGCCCTCCGCAGGTTTTGAATTCAGAGTTCTCCTTCTCTTAGACCAGTTGCCATCCAAGGCTATAAAACCCAGTCGGTCTTGATATTTACCATATCTTTCACAAGTGCATGTAATGGATTCGACTGGAATTCGAACTCGGCTCTCCGATTCCGCAATCCGATCCGCTATCCATTATTTCACTATGCCTCCTGTGTTATGAAATGGAAGAAGTCCGATATTTATTTAATATAATTTTTGTTCATACATTATTTTAATATTTGAATATACAGACCGGTAAATGTAATTAATACTGTTTGTTTAAAAAACAGATTTACTTAAATAAACTGTATCTATAAAAAATAACGTATAAATAGAACATATATTAAATAATTGTCGGACTTTATTCATTTTATAATATATTGTCATTGTTTATTAAGATATGTTTCTTGAGCATAAATTACCGATCGACATTCCATATTTTTAGAAATAGTAATTCGGACTTTGCCAACTAGACGCTTGCCTGTGGCTGAATGGTTAACATCACCTCAAGCCAAATGACCGTTCACGTTAGAATTACAGGTTCGATTCCTGTTAAAGAACGCATATTTTCTACGAAATAATTTTTATTAAAGAAAAAAAGACTTACTTAAATAAATTATATCTATAAAAGTAATGTATAAACAGATTATCAAACGGATTAAATCCGACAATTATATTATAAAAATAACGTATAAACGACATATATATATATATATATATATATATATATAGTCTTGACTCTCACGTCGAATTCCTAG